GTGATACTCTCCCCTCTAATCTTGATCTTTATGTATAAAATAAAAGTAGAAAAAAGTCAAATATAGACCCCGCTTGATGGTCATTATTAGGCCAAAATAGTGTTTTCAATAGTGAGAATGTGTGGTTAAAAAGTAGGGAAAAATTTTAGGTTTACATATAGAATATTTTATTGTGTGAATGTGTAGATGAAAATGAATATGTAGAAAAAAAAAAGTTTAAAAATAGTGGTTGTCAAATAAGGGCATAATCACACAAAAAGATATCGTTCGTGCTTAATGCATGTGTTTGAATATTTTTGTGCTGTTTTAATGATTCCCAAATGCAACCACCATGCAATAAACACGGTCAAATTTATCTCTTATATGTCTAACAAGATAGTAGCTCGTTTGAACAAACAAATCTGAAATTCGCGTGCTCATTTTTTGATTCTTAATCGAATTATCGTCTACAGGGACCACACCATGCATACTTTTTTATGCAGAAAAAAGTGAATGGTTACTACCCATACTTCCCAGTACTGTAAACAGAAAAAAAAAAAAAAAATTTACGTTAATCCATTTTTTGGTGATTGATTTAAGAATTTGAACTGATCTTTATCAAGTGGGATTGATCAGGAATAACATTTTTATTTTGAAGGAGGTAAAAAGTAACTACAACACATAGGTAGTGCTTGAAAATAATACTTTTTAAACAAGTAATAAGAATTAAAAATTATTATCTCAATTTTAAAATATATAATGTTATGAATAATTTAAAATTAAGTTTGATTAACTTTTGTCCAAAGGCTAACACACTCCAAATCCATCTAATCCCTCCCTAATGTGATTTTGGTTGGTTATTAAGTAACTATCATAGTCGAATAACGTCAGTCCGTCTATAAACTCAATTTCATTTGTCTTAATTTAAGTCTCCTTTTGATTGAAAAAAAAATTATAAACTATTTAATATATAATAATAATGAACAAATTATTAAACTTGCAATTTGTCAATTTTTTTTTTTTGACGTTTTTCAATGAGTAATGCTATTCATCCCCACTGTGGATGGAAACACAGTCTATGTGGCGCCAATGTGACATTAAATGATAGGTGAAATTAAATAAATCATTTCATTTCACATTTCATTTAACCTATCATTTAATGACACATAAACTGTGTTTTCATCCCCACTGGGGATGAATAACATTACTTTTTTTCAATGCCCATTGGCCAGTATATTGGATAAGAATAATA